TTCCGGCTCGTCACACTCTAACGACGAAATTTTAAAAGGAAAAAAAAAAAAAAAAAGGGAGAGAGAGGGAGGGAGAAGGGAGAGGGAGGGAGAGGGAGAGAGGTAGAGAGAGAGATAGAGAGATACAGTATATATATTAAATTTTAAAAATAACTACTCAGAAATATCGAAATACAGTCGAAAATAACAGATATACAAGAAACGAAAAGAAAGTAAAACTGCTACGTGATATCCATGTTTCTTGGGTTTTCAACAAAATAAACAGATTTAATATAACCCTTCGCTACTATCACTAAGAAAAATCATCCAATATTTTGGCAACTGATTACTAGAGGACCATGCGAGAATGTGAGGATATTTTTTTCCTTGATCCTTCAAGCTTTTTAAACTGATTTCGGAATCTAAAACTCGATTAACCAAAACGGCTATATATTCCTAAATTTATCTTGTGCTCAGTCACGAATTTCTTTGTATGGTAATTCTGGTTGCGTTATGATCCGACAAAAAGTTCGGATTTTATCTTGGGTAAATTGCGATTTTTTCACCTCCCCAGATTAATCTCCAAAATCACGTTACAGAATTTTAAAAAACTGTACGTTCAATTTTTGGTTAAAAAAAAATAAAATAAAATATAAAACACCTAAATTCTTAAATAGAGAAGCATTTTGCTGTTGATAAAGAATACAGAACCATATACCTCTTCTACAACAATTATACATGTTTATCTTAAAAATTTCAATAATTTATAAAACATTAATTAGAAACAATTTTATGGTAAACAAAATTGTCGTTATTAACCAGATTTAGATATTTTTCGTACTACAATAAATATTTAATTTTAAGAAAAAAATGCATAATTGCGTAAACTTTATAAATAATGAATACCATATCCCAGTCTCTAGATAAATAGAAAATAAGGAGACCTTACGAGAATGTGCCCGAGATATTTTGTGACTTCAACTTTAATGATTCAATAATTTAGTAAAATCGGTGAAGTGATTTTTAAAAATCCGTATATATCTAAATAATCACAAATAAAAAATGTGGGAAATAATCTAAATAATTATTCGTGCGTTGCATGGACACATGTTACAAATATTATGTCCATTTTCCCATGCGCGACCTTCCCGGATTTTTCTCACGACAATAAATGGTAAAGTCAAATCGTTAAAAGGAATTTCAATAAAATGTTATCATGTGGGACTTGACGATATGAATTTATGTCAATAAGCTTTATAAAAATGACCTTACACATTTGATTCTGGCCCCATTCATGCAATGACGAGCATTAAGGCGGCAAGGTTCAATGAATTTTTGTTTTTTTTTAATGGAAATCCTTTACTTTGTAATTAGGTCGCACAAGGTTGTACAAAAAGGTACAATAAGTTGAAAATCTTGATTGATCACATTTCAAAAGAATGTAATTAAAATAAAAAAAGAAGACAGAGATTTTAACCTTCCATCATGTTGTTTTCATAACCTAAATACAAAAAAAAAACTATATTACAGTGTGGGACAAAAAAATGAGAATCAAAAAATCGATCATCAAGCATTCAATATTACGATAAATCACGTGAATTTAACTTTATTTTAAAGCTCATTTGTAAAAGTTTATTAATTAATATTATTTATAATATTTTAAAATTATTACACATTTAAGGCTTTTTTATATTAAATTATATTTAAATATATTTAACTTAATTTAGTTAGATTTTTTTAAT